TGGATCCAAACCTTGGGGAAAGAATCACACTTTTTCATTAACTGTTAGGACAAATGATAAGTGACACTGGAGTTTATTTCCAATATGAGTGACCTCACTTCCCCAGAGGCCCCAGACTCTATTAAGTTTCCCTGTTTCATGCCCCCAGAGCATTCTTGGTTTTTCAAAAAGCTCATGTCTTTCTCCTGACTGGTATGAACTCGAGTATTAGTGTATTGTACATGTCCTGTTCACTATTGTGTTCAGAGTTCTAGAACTGCCCCTCTACCCAGTAAAGGTGGAATGAATAATTGATGGTGAATTGATGAAGAAGGAAGGTGTTGGGAAAATCATGGCTGTTTGGTACATCAGTCCCAAACATTTCAAAAGCACTCCTCACTTCCTTTCTTAGACTTACTAGTCATTTAGTGATGTAGGCAAGTTATAAGTGTCATATGGCCTCTTCAGTATACTTCATGATACCTTAAAATAGGATTGGGCAACAATTCATAAACTTAATCCATTTCTAAGTATCAAAAATCAAGGAAATGCCTTTGTTTATATGGGAACTTTAAGTGATTTTCCTAAACCCATGGTTTCATAGCATTAAGGGTGCTAATATCTTTAGTTTTAGATGAAATATCAAAACAAGCTAACTGAAGACTTTGTAATAAAAATTCTATGTAACCAAAAATAATTAAGTAAGAAAATAGAGTAATAATATGGTATCAAAATAATAATGTCTTCCTGTCTCCTTTTAATGGACACTTTATGTTTGTAGTACCACCAATTTAATGCAATCATGCGTTTAACTTCCACAATTTAATTTCAGAGAATAAATCCTCAATTTTCACCATAAATGCCGAAAACATTGCTATGCTTTATAGTCAAAGCAACATTGTACAATATTGGCTCAACTGGGCTGAGCACTGAGGTTAAAAAGATTGATCTGTCTTTCCTCTATCTATCTATCAATCTATCTGTCATCTATTGATCTCTCTATCTATCACCAGGCTCTAAGTTATTTATAGTTTTATCTCTGGGAAATTGAGATTTGTAATTATAAGTGATAATTTATTAAAAACATCATTCCAGCAAATTATTATTTTATTTTCATATAGTTATTATAGAAATATGTTCTCCTTAATAGCTGTCATTTGCTAAGTGCTTATGATTCCTAAGGCCCTGGACTACCCAAAGTACTTGATTTTCTTTATTGCTCCCTCATAAAACTGACAGATGCAGCTGTTACTATCATTTCTGTAATAGAGATGAAAGAAACAAGGTGAAGAGACTAAGGAATGCCCCAGTGTTTAAATGGATAACGTGGCACAGCTAAATGTTCACATTTTTTAGGTTACTTTAAGTCATTAAATTGTGTAACTTTATTTTTTTTAATTGTAGTCATAGTATATTTTTCAGATAAAGGGTAATTCAAATATGTGATATAAAACATTTATTTTATTTTATTTATATATTTTTAAAGATTTTATTTATTTATTTGACAGAGATTACAAGTAGGCAGAGAAGCAGGCAGAGAGCGAGAGGAGGAAGCAGGCTCCCTGCTGAGCAGAGAGCCCGATGTGGGACTCGATTCCAGGACCCTGAGATCATGACCTGAGCCAAAGGCAGAGGCCCAACCCACTGAGCCACCCAGGAGCCCTAAAACATTTATTTTAGAAAAAGGATCAGGATTTAAGTGTAGATTTTCAAGGATAGAATGATACATTTTATTTTCTGACGCTAATAACATTTTTAACAGGTAATATTTTTATGAGTCTAAAATATCAGAATAATAAAAATACCCATAGTAATTTAAATCTGTAAAAAATATCCAGCCTCTATTTGCAAGACATTTTATCTTCCTTCCCCCACCTCAAGCCTTAAACAATAGTCTCTGGCATTTATTTTATTTTTATTTTATTTTTAATTTTATTTATTTATTTATTTATTTATTGTGCAGAGGAAAAAAGATTTCATCTGGACATCTAGGAATTTATGGGGGTATATGTCTTTAATAAATTAATAACTAATATATTTATTTTCTTTTCTGACACCTTTTAATTTACCAATGTAAACATAGAATTCAGAAAAATACAGCAAACACTCATATACTCTCCATCAAGAGTCCACAATTGTTAACATAGTGCCACATTAAAACACCTTTCTCAATTTATTCCCACACATGGATAAATCCTCTTGCTAAAACATATGATAAGAACATCATGACACTTCATTCTTCAATACTCCTTCAACAAATATTTGTGAATTCAAGGAATATTCTCCACATAACCATAATACTATAATTATACCCAAGAAAATTAGCAATAATTTCATAATAACTTACTTTTTCTTAATATTTTTTATTATGTAGGTCACCATATAGTACATCATTAGTTTTTGACGTAGTGTTCCATGATGCATAGTTTGTGTGTAACACTCAGTGGTTCATGCAATATGTGCCCTCCTTAATACCCATCACCAGGCTAATCCATCCCCCCAACCCTCTCCCCTCTAAAACCCTAAGTTTGTTTCCTGGAGTCCATAGTTTCTCATGGTTCATCATCCCCTCTGATTCTGCCCCTTCATTTTTTCCTTCCCTCTCCTAATGTCTCCACGCTAACCCTTATGTTCCACAAATGAGTGAAGCCATATGATAATTGTCTTTCTCTGTTTGACTTATTTCACTTAGCATAATCTCCTTCAGTTCCATCCATGTTGATGCAAATATTTGGTATTCATCCTTTCTGATGGCTGAGCAATATTCCATTGTATACATGGACCACATCTTCCTTATCCATTCATCCATTGAAGGGCATCTTGGCTACTTCCACACTTTGGCTATTGTGGTCATTGCTGATATGAACTTTGGAGTGCATATGGCCCTTTTCACTACATCCATATCTTTGGGATAAATAGCCACTAGTACAATTGCTGGGTTACAGGTTAGCTCTATTTTTAACTTTTTGAGGAACCTCCAAACTGTTTTCCAAAGTGGGTATACCAACTTGCATTCCCACCAACAAGTTAAGAGGGTTTCCAAAAAAAAAAAGAAAGAAAAGAAAAGAAAAAAAAAGTTTCCCTTTCTCTACAACCACGCCAACATTTGTTGTTTCTTGTTTTGTCAATTTTTGCCATTCTAACTGGGGTAAAGTCGTATCTCAGTGTGGTTTTGATTTAAATATCCCTGATGGCTAATGATGTTGAACATTTTTTCACGTATCTGTTAGACATTTGTATGTCTTCTTTGGAGAAGTGTCTGTTCATGTTTTTTGCCCATTTTTTGACTTGATTATTTGTTTTTTGGGTGTTGAGTTTGAGAAGTTCTTTATATATCTTGGGTACCAGCCCTCTATCTGTAGTGTCATTTATAAATATCTTCTCTCATTCCTTGGGTTATCTCTTAGTTTTGTTGACTGTTTCCTTTACTGTGCAGAAGCTTTTTATCTTGATGAGGTCCCAAGTGTTCATTTTTGCTTTTGTTTCCCTTGACTTTGGAGACATGTTTTGAAAGAAGTTGCTGTGGCCGATGTCAAAAAGGTTACTGCCTATGTTCTTCTCTAGGATTTTGATGAATTCCTGTCTCACATTGAGGTCTTTCATTCAGAGTTTATCTTTGTGTATGGTGTAAAAGAATGGTTGAGTTTCATTCTTCTGTATATAGCTATCCAATTTTACCAGCACCATTTATCGAAGAAATTGTCTTTAACCTTTGGGTATTTTTTCCTGCTTTGTCAAGATTAGTTGACCATAGATTTGAGGGTCCATATCTGGGTTCTCTGTTCTGTTCAATTGATCTATGTGTCTATTTTTGTGTCACTACCATGCTGTCTTGGTGATCACAGCTTTGTAGTATAGCTTGAAATCAGGCAACATAATGCCCCCAACTTTGTTTTTCTTTTTCAACATTTCTTTGGTGAATCGGGGTTTTTCTGGTTCCATACAAATTTTAGGATTGCATACAAATTTTAGGTTCCATACAAATTTTTCCAGCACTTTGAAAAATGGCATTGGTATTTTGATCAGGATGGCGTTGAATATATAGATTGCTCTGGACACCATATAAAAACCATCTATGAGAAGCCCACAGCAAATATCATTCTTAATGGGGAAAAGCTGAGAGCCTTTCCCTTAAGATCAGGAACACAACAAGGATGTCTACTCTTTCCCCTATTGTTCAACAGAGTACTGGAAGTCCCAGCAACAGCAATCAGACAACAAAAGAAATAAAAAAATACGTATTCAAATTGACAAAGAAGAAGTAAAACTCTCTCTCTTCCCAGATGACATGATACTTTATGTGGCAAACCCAAAAGACTCTACCCCCAAACTACTAGAACTCATATAGCAATTCAGTAATATGACAGGATACAAAATCAATGCACAGAAATCAGTTGCTTTCCTATACACTAGCAATGTAACTGTAGATAGAGAAATTTGGGAATTGATTTTAATTATGATAACACCAAAAACTTTAAGATGTCTTGGAATAAACCTAACCAAAGAGGAAAAGGATCTATACTCTAGACACTATAGAACTCTTATGAAGGAAGTTGAAGAAGACACAAAAAGATGGAAAAACATTCCATGCTCATGGATCAGAAGAATAACATTGTTAGAATGTCTGGCAATTATTTTAATGGATATACTAAGCTTTTTCTGTAAACTATGTTTCATTTTTTCTGTCCACCTGGCTACTAATAATCTAAAAATGGCCAAAGAGCAAATTGATACCTGTGAAATAAAAATAAAATCCTAATGAAGGTGAATTATCACCACTGAGTTATCAAAAATTAATTATGAAAATATTCTTTGGCTAAAATTTAAAAAAATACAGAATTTTTATAGAAAATTGTTAGAAATGACTTCATTGATAAAGTAACTTTCTTTATCCCTGTAAATGATAAAATGTCATTTTTTTGAAATTAATAAAAGCACTTTTTTCTACCTGAAGATAAATTATATTTTTTAAAAATCATAACTTCAATGTATTTACAAAATATATCTTATTGCTCCTACAGAAAGATAAAGAAGATCAGTGGCTAGAGAAAAAAGTGCAGGGAAATAAAGACCACATTATTTTGGAGCATCTACAGTGGACAATGGGGTATGAAGTTCAAATTACAGCTGCCAATAGATTGGGATATTCAGAACCAACAGTCTATGAGTTCAGCATGCCACCAAAGCCAAACATTATTAAAGGTAAGCAAAACTATGTACTTTCTTAGGTGGCTATACATATGATATCATCTTTTTATAAACTCCTCTGGAATTTTTCTTAATACTGAAAACATAATTTTATAGAAGGAAGTGTGAATCCTGACTTCTAATCATGGTTATTGTGACATGTCTTACTCAAGATTTCTCAAATTGTTTTTGCCATGGGGTATCAGCTAGATGGTAAATGCACTTTGACAGCTTTGGTAGTCGAAGGGATGGGGAGAGAACAGAAAGAGGGGATGGAGGGTAAGAATGGAGTGTCAAAAACCAACATGAAAGATTTCTATTAAGTCCAGAAAATCTTTTGCAAAGAAGACGTCTCTACCAAACACATGGAGGCTGGTCCTTCACTTATGGAAAAATGTGGTCAAAGATAATGATAAGCCCATCCATGACTGATCAAGCCAGTTGATTTTGGAAATACAGACTCAATCACATGCTGAGGCAGAAAAACTACAGATGTACCCCAGAAAAAAAGTACAACTAGGGTTTCAAGGAGGCTCACAATATTTCAAGACACTTGACATCAGTATTCACAGTGCACTGGTGAATTCTATCTTTATTAAGTAACAGTGCTTGCATCATTATATGCTAGTGATGCTATAAAAGTCCACAGGAAGGATATTAAATTTTTTTTCAGATACATGCTATAGAGGTAAAGATGCAAGAATTTGTCCAGATTCATTGTCATATTTAACTCTGTAAGTTGTCACATGGATCATATTTTAACATCCATCATTCCTTTAAATATATGTAACATTTACTGATGAATTTTATACATACATGTATGCATATATGCAATATACATATACTCTTCATATGTATAATGTAGAGATGAGAGCAGCATATTCATAAGCGTGACTTATTGAAGTCATATTATATTAGAGTGTCTGTAGTGTTACATAACACTGTTGAGACTGGGAAAAGATAAAGTGTGTTAGTTCAGACATGCTCTTAGCCCTCTTGTGAGTTCAAATTGATATTAATCTCATTATTATGAGTTTGTGAAATACTACATCTTTTTTTTCCAAATTGAAAGCATCTTTATACAGTTAATCTTTCTGTTAAAAAATAATTACTATTGGGGCACCTGGGTGGCTCAGTGGGTTAAGGCCTCTGCCTTCGGCTCAGGTCATGATCCCAGACCCCTGGGATCGAGCCCCGCATTGGGCTCTCTGCTCAGCAGGGAGCCTGCTTCCTCCTCTCTCTCTCTCTCCCTGCCTCTCTGCCTACTTGTGATCTCTGTCTGTCAAATAAATAAATTAAAAAACCTTAAAAAATAATAATTACTATTGGTTATATGTATATTACTATTGGTTAAAAGTAATTGATATTTGGCTTTGTATTGCTCATATTAATTAATAAGTGCTTCCAATTACAGTTTGAAATTAGGAAGCTGGGAGCATCTAGGACTAATACCTGATATGTTGTAATGGAATTTTAAAAAATTTACAAAGTATTTGTGCATTTGTTATCTCATTATCTCATTTGTATATCTCTGAATCTGAATTGAACAATGAAGAATTATACTCATTTTACAGATGTAAATTTGGAAGGTTAAGGGATCTGTTTCAAGGTCAGAGCTACTTTAGTCATATGACAAATCCAATACCCTTAATAAGATGATACACCTAAGAATAATGGTTGAATATACTATCAAGTTCATTGCCTCTGTTAGTTTTAAACATCAGTAACTACCTCTACAAATACATCTTATTTTTGCAGTAATTATCCTCTATGCAGATATCAGCAACATGATATAAATATGATTCTAAATCTGAGTCAGAATCTTCAAAGGAGGATTGCAGCAGTCAACTCCATTTTCTTCAATCTTTAATTCAGCTCATATGTGTGGAGAAAAATAATTATTTTTATCAAGATAAAATTAATCTTGCATGAAGTTGGAAGACAACATTTTAGTAACATTTTACAGGTAATAGATTGTGAAAAAAATAGACTTTAGGTAGGTTACTTCCAGAGTCCCTGTTATTTTTTATAAAAAAACATTTTTGAAGGATGCCTGGGTGGCTCGGTCAGTAGAACATCTGCCTTTGGCTTAGGTCATGATTCTGGGGTCCTGGGATTGAGCCCCTTATCAGGCCCTCAGCTCATCAGGGAGTCTGCTTCTCCCTACCCTCTGCTGCTCCCCCTACTTGTGTGTGCTCTCTCTCTCTTTCTAATAAATAAATAAAATCTTAAAGTAATTGTTGTTAATAAAAACCAAAAGTAAGTATGGACAAAAGGGTAAATAAGAATATATGTATATACATATATACATACATATATAGACACATACATACATATACAGGCACAAAAATACCTAAGATATATTATGATACATTTACTATAAAAACATATTTTGTTTGAGTTTCAGAATCAGATTGTGGGCAGTACTTAGAAGATAAGTAAAAAGAATTACGGTTTATAATTTCAGCTTAGCTCTTGTTACTTAATTTCCCTTGATACGCATTTCTTTATCTCTAAGGTAGTTTCTTCTGGTCCTTTTATATTAGGATTCATTCATTTGTTCCAGATATTTATTAGGGTCTTACTTTGTGAGAAGGACAGACATGGGTACAGAGGAATGACCTGTGAAAAATACAGACTGGCCTCTGCCCTTCAGGGACTTTACAATCTAGTAGGGAAGGTAGGCATAAAGCCTAGGGTTAGAATAATGACCAAATAATTGCAACTAATAGATGTGTTCGTGCTGTATGCTGCATGAAGGGGTTTGGCACTTGTACCTAACTTGTGAGAGGGTGGAGTTCGGGAACGGTTCCTTTAGAAAGTCCCTTTCCAAAAGAAACTTACAAGAAATGAGTCTTCCAAGGAAAGTGTCATATATAAAAGTGGCCTCTGCCTGGGAAGTAGATAAAACATGGTTGAAGAGAACCTGGAAGTGTGAACAAAAGTAAGGATGAAGAGGGATCTGTGACCCAGATAATCCAAGGTCTTCTGAAAATGACATAAACAATCTTAAAAAAAGTTCTTAGAAGCAATAAGAAATCATTTGAAGCAGGGACGTTATATGAGTAGATAGACATTACAGACAGATTAATCTAGCTCAGATGGTGAAAGGAAGAGATGGGTGAATAGAACACTTGGAAAAAAGTGATAGCAGGAGCAAAAGAGAACTGTGAGTAAATTCTGGACACAGTGTAGATGTAGGTTAACCTTACACGTGTAACATATTGAATTCAGTAGATATTGATGACTGAGTTTCTTGCTTGGATAGTGGGAACACTGTTGGCATCATCTCTCAGGATAAAGAATTTGAGGAGCAGGATTTGGAGAATAGGATCAAACACAAGATCGGTTTGGTGGTTTTTACGTTTGAAATGTCAAGTAGTAGTTATATGTATGTGTATAAAGATGAGAAGATAGCCATAGATTGGAAACATATATTATTATGTTAACAGGTTAACAGGTGAATGGTATTTGAAACCTGGGTGAGGATAAAATTAGACATTGAGTAATACCTAAGCTCTATGAAAAGGAGTCGACATCTAAAATACTCATAGATGTCTCCCTGGTACCTAGAAGGGTGACTGGCACAGCACAGATATTCAAGGAGTACTTCTTGGGTAACTGAGTAGAGGATGAAGAACTGAGTCCCAAGGAACTAAGATATTGTACAGGAAGAGGAAACCACAGCAGCCCCTACCCCCTCCCTCTGAGACGAAGATGTAGAGTTCCTGGCAAAAGAGAAGACTGTAGTATCTTGGAAGCTAAGAGAGAATCATCTTTCAAGAAGAAAAGCTATAAATCTCATGCCACTTCAGATGCTGCTGAGAGGTCAGTGGAACTCAATGGAAAGAGATGTGAAGTGTCCTTCATACATACAACTTTGCTGAAGTGGCTGAGAGAGAAATTAGGTAGGAGTGGGCTGAGGATTTTATGTGAGGTGAAGAGGTTTAGATTCCATGTTTATTTAATGCTTGTAAGAAGGTTTTCTATGAAGGTGAGCAGAGTTAAAAAAAAAAAGAAAAGAAACAGTGTTAGAAAGACTTTTAGGATGAAAAATGCTCGAGTGTGTTTTGTAGTTGATCATGCAGTCAAGAAGTCAGAAAAAGCTATCTGAGAAGGTAGGAGAAAGAATTCCTCCTCTCTAAACTGGGCAGCTGATACAAAGCAATAGCAGCCTCCTAGAAAAGGGGAAAGAAGAAGAAAAGATTATTTATAAAAATGTTACAAAATAATGTCTAGTTAACTGTAACCACGGACTCAAATCCTCAATCCACTGGCTACTCAAGCCTCACGGAAAGCCACGTTGAAGACATGCCTTTATAGTTCAAGCATTGTTCTGTTTGGCTCTAGAAGTTTCTTGGGGCAATGTTAAAGGCTATGATGGGTGACGGTGAATTTGGGAGCCTTTATGTCCATGATATCCTACAGAGTTAAAATTATGTACTGATAAAATAAGGAAAATAATCTGCATATGCTGTCATCAAAACTACTCTTGTGTGATTTCTTATTCCATTTTAAAGTAAATATTATAAATTCAAACTCATATCTGAAATAAGTTATCTATAATAAGCTAGCAGGTCTTAAGTCTTTTTATTCTAGTTTTAGAAGATGTGAACTTTACAAGTTAATTTAGTTTTAATTCATTTTTGGTAGCATGCCTTGTAAACTGTCTAAATAAGTTTACGGACTTTTGAATTTAAAAAGCCATTGCTTATGTGCATTTAATATATTTAACTTTTGTAAGTAACAGGCTAAATATAGAATACATGTAATCATTGGACCGAAGAACTATTTTTTTAACAATATGCTCACCTTACATTCATACATTACATTACATACATATATATATTACATTGTATACATACACATGCACACACACACACATATACACAATATATTATTGACAATACTGGTTTTTATTTTTCCTTTAAGATTTTATTTATTTATTTGACAGACAGAGATCACAAGTAGGCAGAGAGGCAGGGAGAGAGAGAGAGAGGAGGAAGCAGGCTCCC